GGTCTAAGAGGTTTAGCAAAAATATCGAGTTCGATATTCCATGCAATATTTTTTATATCAGTTCACATACATGTTTTTCTATGAAACATCTGGTATTTATGGATAAGTTTGTTCTTTGGTGGGTGATAATATGCTAGAAATGATTATATGATCGAGATTAAAGATAAATCTATAGTGATTTYATACCATTTTACTTAACATTCCTCAAGGTCAAGTATTCAAGGTTGATATTGCACACTTTYCTATCAAATATCTCGCAAATCCCCCATATAATTAAATCATCTTTATATGAAGGCTTAAATATAAGGTCGATGTCACGTTTTTGTCAGCTCGTGTAAATGACGGTAATTATTAAAGAATCTTTTCTACATWCATTTTCACACACGYGGCCCAAGTGAGCGATGTCACTTTTTAGCCGACCCACACATAAGTGTTAAAAGTGTGAACTAATTTGCCACTTAGAAAGGCTTTTAGCAACTCGGTGAAACAAGGAAAACATGGTGAGTTCGTTCAAGACTAAACCCTTACGAACAGACTAGTAGTTCCTTTGTTATTCAAGTCGGCCGTTTGATTCACTATAAATTGCTTTTTTTTTGTTTCATATTCTAGATTTTGGGGATAATTTCTGAATACTTTCTTTTTTTGTTTTGGCATAGTGATTTTGTAAGCAGGTGTTACTATATTGACAAGATCTTCGCGGTCTTGTATGATGGAGTAGGTTATTATAAGAAGGTATTACRAAAAACCTGTGGCCGATCCAGAACATCAAAAGGGAGAGAAGTAGGGGGGTTGCTGACGACAAAAGAGRATCCAATGGTTTGATTTGGGGCTGCGGAAAAAGAAATGCTGCTTTAGGGTTTTTRTGTTTTGTTTTGTTTTTTCTTTGATTCATTTATTTGTTTTTAGTCTCATTCAGATTTCATTTCATCTTGTAATTACTTATATCATAATTCCTATCTGTATATTTTGAACTCTAAACTGTGGGTGGTTAGCCAYCATAATCACCCGAGATCCGCCCTTGAAAGTACAAGCCAATTCCATTGTAACCCATACTATGTKAAAAGGTAGAGGAATAGATGTCTCACCAGCGATTTTACTTCAGAATCTTAAAACGGAGCATCAACATTTAAATTCTGTACAAGGTCTTTATATGTATTTTTTTACATTGAATGCAAATCGAAAAATATTTTAGTGCAATCTGTTGTTCTCCCGACTCTAGCTCAAAACCAACTCAAGGTGAATATTTTTTACTTGGACGTGGGCAGCTACAAGAGGTTCGGTCGTCAATAAAGGAAACGAAAATAAAATAGATAAATAACTTCATTAAAATCTTTTGACGTGACAAAAAGTGTCAAGTATTAATAGAAACCCACACACCAAAGTTCACAATAGCTGATTCAGRACCACAGCATCACACAGAGCGGTGAAAATGAAAGAGGTATTCAAAATTTTGAAGGCTAAGTGGGCTTTTCATTAGCAATCATGGTCTATTTCCTACACCCAATGATGACGGAATTAACCGGACGTCATAAGTTCTAAACTTGCCATTTGTATTTTGCTTGAAGGGATGAGATAGTTTCTCGTATGCTATATATATATAAAGAAAGGTAATTGTAGGTTAACAGAAATAATGGGAGGAATCAATGGTTTTAAATCAAAAGGATATAATGAAACGGAAGGTTGTTCAGTGCCCTCGGTCAAGATAAAATCTAGACACAGATTTGAAGTAATCCCAGAATGATGACAAGGACTTTATTTCCGATTCACATCAGTCGTATGAGTGAAAGCGATGGTTTCAGTTTTATTTGATTTTTTTCTTGTTCATTTGGATAACAATAAACRGAACTATTGTACTAAAACCCGGAGGGACTCCACTCAAATATCTCACTTTAAATTACACATACATTTGATCGTGTATTGATTCTAACCTGAGAGAAATCACCATATTTGATTTTTTTATTATTTATTATTGATAAATATACTTTAARCTTATTAAATACTTTGCATTCGGAACAAGTTTTACGGTAACGTCTATCATTTTCAGATCCGATTTAACTTTTTTTTCTTGTGCGGTGCCACTTTGAGACGCTGAWAGGTGCGCGYMRRTWKRTTRKAKCRTWAAAWWWRC